CAGTGGGATGCATAAGGTATAGGCTAATTGTAAGCTGATTCTATCAAGTTTCGCAACTCTCTGGATAAATGAACATAATAGTTATGGCCAAAATTTACTACACATCCCAAATTCTGACAAAATTAAAACACTCAAACTTAGCTGAGGATCTGTATTTTTGTCCTTAATTGGACCAGCTCTGTTCACACACGAGGAAACCAAAAATTTTTGCCAATTTAAGTTATAAGCGAATATTCTATTAGCGTCGCCAAAACTAATTTTGAGTGTTGCCCTTCCTAAAAATAGATTGGTAAACACTAATGTATGCATAGCTAAAAATTACTTGACTTTCCGGAACTTCAAAAGTGGAAAAAAAGCAAATTTGGGGAAAAATGGTTACTATAGATTAGCGAAATTGAATCAATTCTCGAAGAATTTTTTTAAATTTCCAAGTATTTGATTAAGAAAACGTGATTATTAATTTAAAGAAAGGGGTTTCTACTAAAAACTGGAAATAACAAAAAGATTGTAAAAAAAAATAACACATTTGAAAAATGTTCAATAAAAAGTCAATTTTTTTTTTACAGATGATGTGATCCCATTCCTGAAGGTATTCTGTAAAATGGATAGGCGTGGTGAACCGATTCGTGCAATTTTCGTTACAATACTCATCTGTTGGATGGGTATACTCATCGCTGTGATTGAGAACATTACAGCGCTTATCACTCAGTAAGTTGTTAGATCTTGTCATTTATGCGTGTGGCAATGATACAGTTGTTAACTGGAGGATAACAGACAACTTGATTGAGAACGTATCAAGAAAAAACGACTCTGATTGGAAGTTGAAGAAGTGAAAAATTGTTGCATTTATTACGTTAAAATTAGTACTTCATATTTACTGACATTAATTTCCGAATATATAGGCATACGAATCAGGGAGCGCCCATCCCAAAACAAATTCAAAAAATTGCCTGATTCTTTTACTAATGACTGATAAATTGTTTCAGTTAAGAGCGCATTTTCATTCGCAGAATCTGAGAGTTCAACCAAACTGATCTGAGATGTCACCAAGCT